ATCAAGCTCACAAAGTGTCTACTTTGCTGACATGGAATCCCACATAACTGCCTAGTTACCAAAGGACCTGCTTTATGGTAAAGGAGGTATGGCAATGGGCACATGACCAGGAGCCCACCATTCCTACCAAATATGCACCATCTAGAAGTTGCTGGTATACTACAGTGATGGACTCACCTCATGGAGATTCAGATGAGGCTCCAACTTGGAGAGGACACCTGGGAGGTGGGGTGCTAGCCTCCAGGAAGCAGTATGCACTTTATATCAATAACCACTTTATGAAGCTCCATCCCTAATGGGCACAATATCCAGTGACCTATTACAGGAATTTGTGCTTCCTGTTCTGCAACACTAAGTGCTGTGAGCTTAGCCATCCTAGATGTCACCAAAGAGGACACTTCTACCAGGAAGCAGAGTAATGTTGAAACTATGGCTACCACCTGGTCACGTGGGACAATTTGTGCCAGTAGATCAGTGGGCACAGAAGGGAGTAACCATATTGGTAAGGATACCTGACCTGCAGTATTAGGAATGTGTAGAGCCACCTGCCACGTGATGAGGGCAGGCAGGAATGGGTTTAGCACTCGGGCAACCGGAACAGGCATTCAGAGGAGCGGGGCATCTCGTGGTACTCCCCCACCCAGAAACTGTAAACAGGCAAGCCTGGCAACGTGTCCTGGTAAGGGCAGGCCCCCAGGAGCTCAGACCCTCAGGCACGAGCCATCTAGGAGAGCCAAAGTGTCAGCTGTGAAGAAATCTAAAATGGGTGGTAGGAAAGGGAGCTGGCGAGTATCATCTGTGGCCTGGGAGGACAACTGCACCAGTGAGGGCTACAGCTCATCTCTCTACCCACCTCTCAGAAGTTCCCCCAGATACTCTGACCCACTAGAACACCGGACAATCTATGTCTGAATGGACTGACCTTAATGTGAGAAGCAAGTAGATATGAGTAGTTCGCCGGGTGGACTCAGTCGTCGCTGTTGGTGCCTACCCAGATTACCTTCCTGGCTTGGTGTCGGAAGCGGGCCCTGCCCGGGTGCTGAGTGTTAGCTGCTAATGACCCCAGAGCCCTGCCTCCAGTGTCGCCCTGCCCAGGACATTATCTCCCTACTTGAAGAGCCTAGAGCCAATAACTGGCTGATCCAGGGGCACCTCAAAGCAGGATCAACAGTGGGACAATCCACACTCCAGAGCTCCCCGTGGGATCAGGCTGAAGCTAGACTCCAGCTGGGACTTCCATCCTTTCTTTATTCCTTTTCCCTATCCTGGTTCCCCCATTCAGCTTATCCTGAGAACATTCCCTCTATAAATCACTCGCGCAGGAGCCCCATTTCAGGTTTTGCTCCTAAAGAATTGAATCTAAGAGAATGCATATTAAAAATACTGTCTACAACCCAACACCAAAAAAAGCAAGCAACCCAATTAAGAAATGGGCAGGGGCACCTGGGTGGCTCAGTCGGTTGAGCAACTGACTTCAGCTCAGGTCATGATTTCACGGTTTGTGGGTTCGAGCCCCGCGTTGGGCTCTGTGCTGACAGCTCAGAGCCTGGAGCCTGCTTCAGATTCTGTGTCTCCCTCTCTCTCTGCCCCTTCCCCGCTCATGCTCTGTCTCTCTCTGTCTCCAAAATAAATAAACATTAAAAAAAAAAAAAAAAGAAATGGGCAAAGGACTTGAACACTTTTCCAAAGACATATAGATGGCCAATAAGCACATTTGCCCAACATCGCTAATCATTGGGAAACTGCAAATCAAAATCACCACGAGATACCACCTAACACCGATTTGGAATTGCTATAATAAAAAAAGAAAAGAGTAAGTGTTTAGAAAGGATGTGGAGAAATTATGCATTGCTGGTGAAAATGTGAAATGGTGCAGCCACTGTGGAAAACAGTAAGGTGGTTCCTCAAAAAGGCAAGCAGAGACTTGCCATAGAACCCAGCAATTCCACTTTAGGGTACATACTCCAAAGAATGAAAACAGAGACTCGAACAGATATTTGTACGTCCATGTTCATAGCAGCATTATTAACAATAACCAAAAGGTGGAAGCAACTCAAGTGGCCAGTGTAAGATGAATGGATAAACAATGTGGTCCATCCGTACAATGGAATATTATTCAGCCTTAAAAAGGAAGAAAATCCTGGCACCTGTTACAACATAGATGAATACTGAAGACACTACGCTGAGTGGGACAAGCCAGACGCAAAACAACAAACTGTTACACGATTCCACGTATATGAGGTTCCCAGAGTAGTGAAATCCATCCTTGCAAGCGCCAGGCTAATCTCTGTATCATTCCCATCAGTCCATGTGCTGCCAAAACACGCAGAGGAAGTACTGGCCTTGCAGGGCTCGAATTCTCAACCTGGGTGTTATTAGCATCACACTCAAACCAAGTGAGCTAACCGACCAGCTGTGTGTCAGAGTCTCTCAGGGGGAGAAAGCAGATGGTGGGAGCCAGGGGCAGGGGGAGGGAGAATGCCGAGTTGTTTAATGGGGACAGAGTCTCCCTTTCACAGGATGAAAAGAGTTGTCAGGATAGATGGTGGAGATGATTCACAACAATGTGAATGTGCTTAATGCCACAGAACTGTACTGTTAAAATGGTAAATCTTGCATTACACATATTTTATCATAATAAAAAAAAAGTTTTTATACTATTAAAATACACCTTCCTGGGGTGCTTGGGTGGCTCAGTTGGTTAAACGTCCGACTTCAGCTCAGATCATGCTCTCACGGTTCGTGAGTTCGAGCCCCGCGTCGGGCTCTGTGCTGGTAGCTCAGGGCCTGGAGCCTGCTTCAGATCTGTCTCCCTCTTTTTGCCCCTCCCCCACTAGTGCATGCGCGCCCTCTCTCAAAACTAAAAAAATAAACATTAAAAACATTTTTTAAATACACCTTCCTTTTCCAAGGGGGGCGGGGGGAAGAAATACTGCCTTGGATGGAAGTTGTTTTCTTTATCCTTTTTTTTTTTTTTTTTTGGATGGGAGTTTAAAAAAATTAGACAATAGGGGCGCCTGGGTGGCGCAGTCGGTTAAGCGTCCGACTTCAGCCAGGTCACGATCTTGCGGTCCGTGAGTTCGAGCCCCGCGTCGGGCTCTGGGCTGATGGCTCAGAGCCTGGAGCCTGTTTCCGATTCTGTGTCTCCCTCTCTCTCTGCCCCTCCCCCATTCATGCTCTGTCTCTCTCTGTCCCAAAAATAAGTAAACATTGAAAAAAAAAATAAAAAATAAAAAAAAATTAGACAATAAACAATTAGACAATTAAACAACAGAATTAGATACATACAACAATGATATCAAGTAATTAAGGAGATTGATGGAGCTAAAGTCACCTAAAGTCCTTGTGCTGTCTAGGAAGTAAAAGTATTACTCCAGGACCCAGGTAAGAATAGAAATAGACTGTATAACTTTCAAACTAGAAGAGGTGTGTGGAATGACTGGAAAAAAAAAAAAGTTGCTCAATCCAAGAGAGAGAAAGGAGAAAAAACCCTGCATGGGTGCCTGGGTGGCTCAGTTAGTTAAGCACCTGACTCTTAATTTCAGTTCAGGTAACAATCTCACAATTCATGAGTTCAAGCCCCGAGTCGGGCTCTGTGCTGACAGCTGGGAATCTGCTTGGGATTTTCTCTCTCCCCCTCTCTCTCTGCCCCTCCTCTGTTCACACGCACATTCTCTCTCAAAATAAATAAGTAAACTTTAAAAAAAAAAAAGAAAAAACAACCCATAAACACAGATGGGACAATACAAGTGGCAGATTTAATTAAATTAGATACAAATGAACAAAATGCTCCAGTTAAAAGAAGAGGTGTGTCCTATATGCTAGAAACTAAATGAAATTAAAAACATATACAATTTGCAATAGACTAAAAGAAATATAAAGTATCTATGAATCGAATCTAATAAAACTTGAGCAGGGCCCCTCGGTGGCTCAGTCGGTTAAGCGTCCAACTTCGGCTCAGGTCATGATCTCACAGTCCGTGCTGACAGCTCAGAGCCTGGAGCCTGCTTCAGATTCTGTGTCTCCCTGTCTCTGAGCCTCCCCCATTCATGCTCTGTCTCTCTCTGTCTCAAAAATAAATAAAAACATTAAAAAAAAAAACAAACTTGAGCAAGATCATAATGGACAAAATGATGAAATCCTATTGGCAAACCTTAAAGAAGGCTCAAATTAATAGTGAGGTAGATAGACCATGTTGATGAGTCAGAAGACTCAATGTTGTAAAGATGTCAATTTTCTCCAAGCTGATTTACAGCTATAATGAATTCCCAATCAAAAGATCGGCAGAGGGATGCCTGGGTGGCTCAGTCGGTTAAGCATCCAACTCTGGTTTCAGCTCTGATCATGACCTCACAGTTTGCGGGATCAAGCCCCATGTCGGGCTCTGTGTTGATAGTGTGGAGCCTGCTTGGGCTTCTCTCTCTCCCTCTCTCTCTCTCTGCCCCTACCCTGCTTGTACATGTGCTCTCTCCCTCTCTCTCTTTCTCTCAAAATAAGCTTAAAAAGATCAGCTGAGTTATTAGTGACATTGATGAGCTGATTTTAAAACTTAAGTGAAAAAGAAAGTGGGAGAAAAAATTCACATGGAAGTAGAAAGAGCCATAATAGCCAAGACACTCTCAAGGAAGAAAATAAGGTGAGGACTTACTTAGCAGATAGAAAGACGTAATCTAGTGACAGTAACTAAGATAGCCGCTACTGGCATAGGAATAGACTGACAAATGGAACAGAACAGAGTCCAACAACCGACCTACATATATATGGACATGTCACAGGTGGCGTTGCAGATGGTGGGGGGAGAGCAGATTATAAATAAATGGTACCGGAAGAAGTGGGTAAACTTAAGGGGAAAAAAATAGAAGTGAACCCTTACCTCTCACCATAAGCAAAAGAACAATTATAAAGTTGGAGACGATATTTGCAATACACATTACTGACAATATCAAGGCTACGTAAAGAATGTGTATAGATTAACAAGAAAAAGGAACAACACATAGAAAAATGTGCAAAACATTTAGATAGACACTTCACAGGAGACAAGTCACAATGGTTAATAAACACATGAAAATATGCTCAAGCCCACTAATAATCAGCTAAATGCAAATTAAAGCCATAATTATACACCCACCAGATTGACAAAAAACAAAACCTGACAATACCAAGTGTCAGCAATGATGTGGAACCAAGGGAACTATCTTTTTTCCTGCTGGTGGGAGTGAAAACTGGAACAATAAAATTCCTGGAAGAGAGTAAAAGGTTCTGATGCCCTAGAACCCAGCAGTCAGCCTCCTGGGTGCATAACCCTAGAGAAACTCATGAAACATGGATAAAATTGTCGCTAGCAGCATTGTCTGGGACTGCCCCACACTGGAAGCAAACCAAATGTCCGTCAACGATAAAATGGACCGTGAACCGATACACTTATATAATGGAATGGTTTTCAGCAACGAACAGGAACTACAGCTGCGCCCAGCAACACGGACAAATCTCAAAGACATGACAAGCAAGAGAAGCCAGATGTCAAAGCTTCATCTGTAGGATTCCATTCACATAAAATACAAAAACAGGAAACCGCTGCAGTGGATGTACAATTGAGTGGTGAAGGCTTTATCGCAAAACAAGAACATGAGCCTCACCAAAGCCAGGGCAGGGGCTGCCGATGAGACCGGGAGAGTGGTGCTGTGATGGGGAGGGCACACGGGTGCCAGAGAGGCTCTCTTGATGGGATCGTAAAAATGTTCACTTCATAGCAATTTGTTAGGCTGCACACTTGCATGTGGCTCATTTTTCTGAATGTGTGTTTTACTCTATGGGGAAAGAAAGAAAAAAAGGAGCATGCTTCAGCTCTGGGTAGCTCAGAGCATGGCCAGAGCTGAAGCCGGAGGGTGATGCAGGAGCAGCTGTTGGGCAGCCTCTAAGGATTCATGAGGAGCAAAGGAAGGTCTGAAGGAGGCAGACGTGTCTGGGGTCAGCTGTGTGTCAAGACTCTCCCTCTCGTGGGAGCACACCAGAAGGGAGCTTAATGAGGGCTGGCCATTACCAACCATCTTTGAGGGTCACTGCCCCCCCTGGACAGGAGCCCTCCCCGAGGTCCCCCCATCAGGCCATCTTTTCCAGGGGGTGGGATAGGGCATGCAGGCACAGACACAGCAGACTGGATATGGCAAGCTTCCCAGTGAGGGGCTCCGTGCCACGGGGTCATGGCCAGAGACAGAGGCCCTCCCCTCACTGCCCTCTAGACACACGGACTTGGTTGAAGTGCCAGCTCTGCCCCGTGTTCCCTGTGTGTCCTTCATGTCCTCCAGGCCTCCCTTCTCCCTTGGCCCTAAGCCGCTGACTTTTCTTCCCTGGTGCCCTGTCAGGGCGGCCCATCGCTACAGGGGTGAGGAGAGGTGGGGGCGGGGGGGGGGGGAGGGGTGCCTCCTTGGACCAGCAGGGGGCGTCCTTGAAATGCGCCCCAGAATTGGGGCAGGGACTTGTAGCACGTCTGGACTCGCTCTGTGAGGTCTCTTCTGGTTCTAAAAGCATTTCTTTTTACCATGAAAGTCTATTAACAGAAGGTAGAGAAGCTCCCCGTACTCTTTCTGATCAACTATAAAAAAAGTAAACCCACGTTCAGTCCTCTGCTTGGAGAACTTCACAAAGGGTCTGGGCCTTTCACAGGACCAGGAGTTGGACCCATCCCTGAACCCACCATGATGCTAGACAAGGCAATGAATCCTCTCTGAGCCTCAGTTTCCCTACCTGTAAGATGAAGAAGCAGGCTAGCCCCTGGGGCAGGTCCCAGGCCTTCTATTTATCCCCCCAAGACTGGGCCCAGAGGGCAAAGCAGAGGGAAGCAGGCCAGTTTGCTCGCCCCAGGGCTGTGGCCCCCTTGACTTGGTCAGGGCATACCTAAGAACTGTGCAGACACTCCACATGACTATCAGAAGCCCCCAGGAGTAGTGGGGAGGTAGCCAGGGGCTGAGGGCTGGGCTCAGAGCAGCAAAGGATAGGTCACATGGTAGCAAGTGGCAGAGCTGGGACTTGAATCTAGGCTTCTCAGACCCTCCGTTTTCTCACCTATCAAATGGGAACATAGCAGCTTCTTCTCCATCCAAACTATGTCAAGTATCCATGGGGCTCAGTGCCTGGAACCCAGGAAGTACTTGGTGAGTGGTAACCACCTTCCAACACTATAGGAGGAATAGAACATTCACGGCAGGTCTCAGGAGGGAGTGGATCCCTCTGGCTCCTCCTTTATGCTGGAGACCATGCCTGCGACCCCACCGGCCACCCAAAACACACACTCTTACCACTGAGGCCAGGGCCCCTGGGGCAGTTCAGGGAGGCAGGAGCCTGTCCTGCGCAGGCATAGGGCCCAGAAGGAGAGGTAAAGCCAGTCCAGGCCCTGGGGTGGGTCTTGGGCAGCAAGGCCTCATCCATCCAAGTGAGCAGAGGACCTATCACCAGGCTCTGGGCCCCAGAACCTCCAGACTTTCCAGCTGAGGGGTCTTCAAACACATTTTAGCCCCATGTTAGCCAGAAGTGCTAAGGCATCCCACATCCAGCAGCACATCACCAGCAAGCAGACTCCTAGGCACGGACTGGAAACCACTCTTCTGGTCCAAGCCCCCCGCTGAACAGTTTTTACAGGAAGGAAAGCCGCAGCCACAGTGGGGATGGAGTGCCTCAGTGGGCTCCCCACACAAGGGCTGAGAGGGGCAAGAACTGTAGCTGCAGGGAGGAGGGGCTGCTCGTTCCCGGGGCTGGGGTAGGGCATCAAAAGCACCCCGTGCGCCACACTGGACCGTGCCTGTGCTGACCCCTCCCCTGGCAGGCTTTAGAGGAAACATCTACACAGACGGTGCTGGACACTTGGTTCCTAGAAGGGACCTCTCAGCACCCTGGGGCCACAGCCTCTCACATCCACAGAGGCCCCATCCCTCCCCCTCCTCCAGCAAGCCACCCCACCCCCAAAACATGCCCAGGGGCCCGTGGAGGTCAATCCAAACAAAGATGATTAATCCTCGGCTGGTGGGCACAAGTGCTATCCTGGGTTTGGATCTCACACAGCAAACTTCTTTCCCCACATAAGGTGCAGAGAGGATCTGATGACCCTGGGGTCCCTCCCTGCCAGCCCAGACCCTAAATGGAGTCTGTATGCACACACACAAAAATCCAGCCTGGATGGCCGTTGCCAGGGAGAGCACCTGCTGGAATTCTGTAGTAGGAAAGGAGGGGGCGGTGAGGGCTGGACTTGAATGGGGTGTTGCCCAGGGGACTCAGCATTTGGGGACCACCCTCCCCACCCACTCAGCCTACACAGGACCCACTCTTCCCACCCCTCTGTAGCCATCACTTCCTCCAAGAAGTCTTCCTGGAGACCTCAGTGGGGTTCTAGCTCCCCACCCAGGCACACCCCAATGCTCTGGCCAGTGTGTGCTCAGCTGTCTCCCAGTAACCATCTGTTAATCCGGCAAATGACCCAGCTGTACATACGGGGACCTTTTAGCTCTGTAGTCCCATTGCCTTGCCCCTGACCTGTGGCACTTCAGAGTACAGGCTCTGAGTCCAGAGTGCCCAGGTCAAATCCTGTTCTGTTACCAGCTATGCACCCCGAGCAAGTCATTTAGGGACCTCTGCCCCAGAAGACAAGAACTTCTTAGGCTTCCTGTAAGCTGGGCTGCTGCAGCCAGCCGCTTGGATGTGGGTGTGGGTACTTGGTAAGGCTGGTCATCCCTCTCTCCCAATGAAACCCCAGCCACGGACAGAAAGGTCATCTGTGCTTTATTGTACATCAATGGCCCATCCTGGAGCCTGTGTCTTAGCGTTCCTGGGGGTGTCGGTCCTGGGGGGCCAGCCCCTGCCCTAACCCCAAATGCCCCAGCCCTGCCCAGCTCCCAACCCAGTGTCGGGTTAGTGTGCTGGGCGAGTGGGGAGGGGTGGAGGTGACCAGAATTCTTGTCCACAAAGCCCAAGCGGGGCTCGGTCCTGGGACCCTGGGCTCCTGGAAGGTTGGACAGGGTGGTCTGCATGGGACAGGAGAGCCCCCCGATCCTCTGGAGACCAGAGCTTGGCCTAGCCCCAGGGACCCAGCCTGCTGAGTGGGGCCTGGCCTTGCAGATTCTACAAGGCCCTGGATCAGAGCATGGCGCTCACTCCAGATCATGCTCTCATGCGAGCCCGTCCCGTCTGCATGGCCCGGGGCCACAGCCCCAGTGGTCGTCTCTGCCCAGAAGCATGTATGACGGGCGTCACCTGGGCCTTGTGTAGCCGTAGGGGCGCTGCAGTCGCAGGCTCTGGTGGCTGGGCAGCACGTGGGTGTGGTAATGCTCCACCAGGCTGCCCACGCTCACAAACAGCACCTCGCCCTCCAGGTAAAACCTAGAGTCCTGGGAAGGGGAAGGAGTGGCAGGGTCAGGGGGAGGTCTCCTGCAAAGTGCAGTGGACAGCAGCAAGGGTGACAGTCAGGCCTGCTCCCGGCTGCCCTGTGTCACCTCTGTGCCTGCTACACACACACACACACACACACACACACACACACACACCCGCCGTCCCAGCCAGGGCCCAGGTGAGGCGCCAGCCTGCCCACCTTCTCAAAGATGCGGTAGTTCCTCACTTTGTTGGAGCTTTCATCCCACACGACCAGAACCTGCAGGGAGAGAAGCCCCAGCCTCAGGAGATGGACCGCAGAGACAGAGGAGTGGACAGAGGCATCATGCCTGGGTCCTACAGCACTTGCGGTGACCTAGGGAGGGGTCACTCTGCACGTGGACAGCAGGGCTGATATGGGCAGCCATTTGCCCCAGGGCTCCCGCCCAATAGCCTCCAATGAGACATAAGTAATAGCAGCAGGTGCCTGGCTACTCTACGACCATGTCTGACGTACATGGGAACACTGAGGGGCTCCAGCCTGGCTCAGCTGGAAGAGTGTGCGACTCTTGATCTTGGGGTTGTGAGCTCAAGCCTCACGTTGGGGGCAGAGCTTACTTGGGGAGGGGGAGGGGAGGGGAGGGGAGGGAGAAGGAAAAAAGGACAAGAAAACTGAGGCTCAGTGAGGTCACAAAATTCACCCCAGAGGAGCAGAGGCAGACCCAGCACTCTCTCTCCCTATTCCCACTGCCCCAAGCAGCCTCCCCTTCAGAGTGCATGAAAACCCCCAGCCCAGTGCCTGGGTGACTCCGTTGGTTAAGTGTCCAATTCTGGACTTAGGCTCAGGTCATGATCTTGTGGTTCATGAGATCGAGCCCCACATCAGGTTCTGGGCTGACAGTGAGGAGCCTGCTTGGGATTCTCTCTCTTCCCTCTCTCTCTGGCCCTGCTCTGTTCTGAGCATGTACACACACACACTTTCTCAAGATAAGTAAACATTAAAAAAAAAAAAAACAGCCACATCAGAGTTCCAGGACCCCCAGCACTTCCCTCCCATTTCCTGCCTGTGCTGGGGGGCTGGGCCACTATCCCAGCTTGCAGACAGCATTCAGTTCCTGAGAATAGATGGGGGAGGGGCTGCCAGGCAGAGACCCCAACGACGGAATGAGCTGAGATGCAAAGTAAGAGGCTGTGCAGGGAAGCGATGTATAAAGCACGATGCGTGCCATCAGCCCAAGTGTGTGCAGAACCAGACAAACCCCCCCACAAGGCAGCAGTCCCCAGGGCGCCTTCACTCAGCAGGGTGACTGTTGGGGCACCCTCCCTGGGCACCTACCTTCCCTGACTTGGTGGAGGAATCCCGGATGCAGTAGAGTCCATCCTGGGGCTCTCCCTGGGGGCTTGTGGCTTTGAACAGCCTAAAATAACACAGCTGCATCAACAAGCCATCCTCAGACAGCCAACCCTCTCAGGGACCCTCCAGCCTCACTCCTCAGTGTAGGTTTTTGTCTCCTCACTATTCTGCAGCACATGGTCTGAGAGTAACCGGTGTGGTGAGGCCGGCCTGTGCGGGGCTTGGGGCCCTGCCCGGGGTGACGGGCAGCACTGGGACTGGCTGATGGCATCCGCTGTTTTGCTGGCTTCCCCACTAAGCTCAGGGCCATGCACCTGTGCTAGCCACTGTCCAACACCAAAGCAGGTGACGGGGGACAGAAAGGCAGGGGACCTCACATCTGCAAAAACAGGGATTCGGAGAAAGAAGGGCTTCGTGCTGACCTTTCCACTTCGTAGGATTCCGTGGTATTGATAAAGACAGAGCTGGGCAGGGGCACCTGGAGAGAGGCCAATGGCGGTCAGGGTCAGGGTCTGCACCAGCCCCCCCCCCCCCCCCACCCCGTAGGCTGCCAGCCTGTGCCCAGATCTGGGGCTGTGCACACGCTTACACTCCCGACAACTCCAGCGTCCTGGGGGCTTGTCACTGGAGGTGGCCAGTGAGGGGCCACCCCGGCCTGCAGCCCGCCCACTGCCACCTGCCCAGTGCCAGGATCCGGAGCTCTCCATTGCCTCACCTTCTCATAGTCATCGTCAGAACCCTCTGCACTCGTGTCCTCAGGCTTCGAGAGTCGTCGGGGCTTCTCAAAGGAGAAGCTCCGGAAACTCTGCCCATCAGGGGGTGACCGCCTTGAAGGGGAAAAACAGAGGAAGGGACATCACTATCACACCCCTGCACACCACCCCCACACACCCTAGGCCTCCACCAGAAAGCTATGAAACAGGCCTTGGGTGACGGCTGCCAATGCCACTGGCAAGAGGGGTCCTAAGGGCCTGAACTCTGGTGTCAGGGGTCACACGACAGACGAGTACTCTGGGCGCTGTGGGAGAAGGCTCTGGGCTGGGGGTCTCAGCCCAGCTCTGCTGCTAACCAGCTTGTGACCTTGGCCAAGTCATGCCCCTCCCAAAGCCACAGAGAGTGGATGCATGTGAATGGATGGGAGTCCACAAACATGTCCCACACACGCGGCCAGGTGGTCCGAAGCCTCTACGGTTTCAAGGAGGATTAAAGGAGACCACACGGGGCTGGTCTGCTGGGCCGTGGGCAGTCGGCCCTGGCACACCCAACCCTGTAGCATTTGGCAAACTGACCCAGTCTGCACCATCATGGCCCCTTGTCACATAGTTCTATGAACTATGTTCTATAGTTCTAGTTCTAGAACTATCACCTGGCAAGAGGGTCCTCCCAGGCACCCTCCCACAGCAGCAGAGCTAACAGAGCCCTAGGGAGGAGAGAGCCAGAGCCAAAGGGGTTCCAGGAGCACTGGGTCAGCACGCTCACTCAAGGCTCGCCCCATGGCTCCCAGAGCCTTCACTGTTTAGGGCCCCAGACATCTCTGACCACAGGCTGTGGTATGAATGACACTGTGGGAGCAGGGGACACCAGTCTCCTGACGCAGCCCAGCAATAAAGAAGACAGTGTTCCACGCAGACCTCAGGGTGAGTCACCAACATACTCCACATTCTGGCAAGTTCCCAGTCAGGAAGAGCACAAAGGCAGCCTTGGTGGCTCCAGAGCCCCAGGCAGGGCTGGGAAGGACAGCTGTGGACCAGCGAGGCCTGTGCAGACTCGCTGGCCCCAAGAGGCTCACAGCCCCAGCTCCCACCCCTACCGTCCATCCCAGAGCAGACAGCCCTGCAGGCCTCTCCCTTGACCCTTGCAGGGTCCTCGGGTTGCCGAGCACGGACTCTGGGAGGCCAGTTTCCCCCAAGACCCAACTTGCCCACTGCTCCCCAGGCAGCCACAGGCTCCAGGCCCAGCACCCACTAGGCTGAACATTCTTCTGGGGCCAGTGCAGGGGAGGCTGCTCAGCCTAGCAAGGCTGGGGCTGTCCAGGAGCCTTCCCGCTCCTATGCTAGGGCTGCCGGCTACCCCTCATGGACAGAGAGGGCCAGAGACGAGGAGGCCAGGGCACCAGCAGGAGAACCCATCAGGTTGGGGAGGGACCCCAGGGGCCCCAGTGCCAAGTAAACTCACTGGAGGTGGGGGAGGGGTGGCTTCTCTGGCCTGGGCAGGACGGGGGGCCGGACTGTGGCCTCGGGCATGGGCAGCTTCAGTACAGGAGGCCTGGGGGCCACAGGGGGTACAAAGAGTCCGGGCCTGGCTGCCTCTCTTGGGGGGGCCTCTTCAGTCATCTTCAAGAACTTGGGCTTGTTGGCCGGCACCGGCGGGGGCTCGGGCGTGGGCGGCCCCCGAGGAGACAGATGGAAGGACTTGAGCTTGTCACAGTTCCTGGAGGTGGCAGTGGCCACGCCAGCAGAGCTGGAGGCAGAGCCAGCCCCATGGCCAGGGACCCGGGGCTCTGGGCTGGGGCTGGGGCTCTCCCGGAAGCAAGGGGGTTTCCGGAGGTTGGGCATGGTTGGCAGGTTGCCCAGTGGGGGGTCGCTCATCCTCCGGGAGGCCGTGGGCACTCTGAGGCCAGGCTCGGGCCGCCTTGGGCCCAGCACGTCCCTCTTGGAGTCCTCGGGAGCCAGGCTTGCATCGGGGAGGCCACGCTTCGGGGGCGGGGGTGGCAGCAGAGGGCTCGGGCCCTTGGAGGCAAAGGAGTGAGCACGGGGCATGTCGGAGAAGACTGGCTTCCTGGGCATGGGCACAGGAGGCGGGGGGTAGGCCGGCGGGTGGGTCAGAGTGTCTGCAGAGCAACGAGACCAGTCAGTGAGCAAGCATGAGCTGCTTGAGGCTGGGCCAACACCACCAACCCGCACCACCTGGCCTGCCTCACGCACCCCCCAGAAGTAGCCCACACAAGCTTCCAGAAGCCTAGATGTCACATCAGGAGCCATCAGGTTCCCAGAAGCAGAGGTAGAGAAAAGAGGCAAGGCGGACTCCTAGGCCCTGACCTCAGTTAGAGGAGACTATAACTCCCACCAACAGAGGTGACGGGGATGGACGGAAGCAGGTGGGGAGGAAGGCGAGGGTTACGTGTGTTCGTGCTACAAGACACATTGTGGGCATCGGGGCACAGGTCTGGGGTTCAGAGGAGAGGTACTGGATGGAGATGCCAGTGTGACATGGCTGTCCCGGCAGCCTAAGACTGGAGGGAAAGGAGCGAGCCGGGCCTGAGTCCCAGGGTGGCCAGGGTTGTGCGGATGGGCATCAGGGGGCTGGTACAAGGCTGAGTGAGGCGGGGGGGGGGG